TAGCAAGCTAACCTACCAGTTAGAGTGTCTGCCCCTGGTGGTCAGTGCATGTTATAGTGAGTGGTTGAGTGCCCTTAGCATATCATTAGCATATTATGCTTTGATTGGTTGAACAGCTGACTGGACTTAGCATATTAGGCTTTATTATATAGGATCATTCCAGCTGTGAACCTTACATAGGCAAGCTCCTTAGACTCTAAGGCTTAGAGGGTAGGCTACCCACTGGTGGCTACTCACTTCTTAACTCCCTGTAGTCTGGCGTTTGTCCCCATTACTCCACTGAAACTTTTTTTAAACTAAGATAAACAGTGACCTGCTAATTTCCAAATCCACTGGATTCTTTCTAGTTTCCTTATGTGAACTTGCCATCTCATTTCCCACTTTTAACTATTCCCTCTTCTTTTTTATTAGAAGTTTTCTGCAAACATTATTTAACCTTGTCTTTATGACCTAACATTATTACTTCATATGTTATTCTACAATATTGTTACTTAATATATTTGGATTTATGTGTTTTTTAACTGAAAAACAAATCTTTGCATACATGCAAGTAAGAAAAATGAAAACAGTTGTTAAATTTCAGCCAGTATTAAGGATCCTGCCTCTGTTGAAAGTGGAGACTAGTTAATGATGGAGCACTAAACTAATTCTGAAAATAATCAGAAGGCCAAAGAAAGGAGGGACTTTCTTACTCTGTTGTTCACTTTAACCTCTAAAAGAATCTCTGGTACCTGTCATCTCTTTCTCTTGAGCCCAGATGCATTCTGACTGCATCCTCACCCGTACCTGGCATTTGTAACTTCCCACCAGCCCTTCTGCCTGCTTCCATCTGCTTCCTTTCAGAGATTTTATTTTTGTGGCTGAATTCACCGGTGACTTAGTAGTCCAGACCAGACTTGTTATTTAAGACTCCTTTCTGAACCTGACTTACTTTCAGCATATATTGAGCACCTCCTCTGTATCAGACCCTGGGTCAGGTGTTCAAATCTTGTACATGTTTTTTGAACATCACCCAATTCATTGTCACTTCCTCTGTGTCCA